TGGTCGGGCGGAGCGGGCCAGCGGAGCAGGGCGGGCAGGGCGGGCCGGAGCAAGAGAGCACACAGGGGCTCCCCGTCGCGCGCGGCCGAGCGAAGCGGGGCCAGTGGGTCAGAGCCTGTGGGGCGGGCGGGGCTCTGTGCGCGGTCGGGCCGCGGAAGGGAAAGGGATGAGAAGGGAGGGCGGGGGTTGGGGCACCAGGAGGGGCAGGAGAGGCGCAGCAGCATCAGCAAGAGCAGGACGGGGGCCCAGCGAGAGGAGAGCCCCGCGACGGGGCCGCCCCAGGGCCGTCGGAGAGTTCGCCGAGCGGTGCCTGTAGCTACTGGATCGCACCCCCCAAACATTAGATGCAGCCTCGAGTTCTACACGCAGACCTTGCAGCTACGGGATCCCACTCCCTCCAATAGTTCGCACCGCACTTTTGTATGGGCGTCCCCTCGCAAGTTGGTGGTTCCCCACACGGCGCGCAACGAGTGGAGTGCCTCGTACATTGTGAATGTCAACTGCCGGGTCCACCCATAAACGTGAGCGGGGCGCTTGTGCGCCTCCTCCTCCTCCTCCTCCTCCTCCTCCTCCTGCTCCTCAGCCCCTGCGCTGCTGCTCCTCAGCCCCTGCGCTGCTGCTCCTCCTCCTCCTCCTCCTCCTCCTCCTCCTCCTCCTCATCCTCATCCTCATCCTCATCCTCATCCTCATCCTCATCCTCATCCTCATCCTCCTCCGTTTGCTCATCATCATTTGCCTCATCCTCCTCTTCCTGCTCCTGTTGCTCCTCCTCTTCCTGCTCATCATCATCCTCCTCAACATCTTCATCATCGTCATCCTCTATTCCTCCTGCTCCTGCCCCCCCCCTGCAAGGGTTGACCGATCTTTTGACTGTGCCCCAGAGGTGCCTGTGGGGCCAGCGACGTGGCCAAACCCCTCGTGGGAACCACGCTGGTCAAACTACCGGGAACCACGCTGATCAAACCCCTTGAGGGGACGACGCTGGGCAAACCTGAGCCCCACCCCGGCCCATGGGGAGGACCACGTTGGTCAAAGCCATATGGAGCCATGTTGGTGAAAGCTCTCGGGAGAACCACGTTGGCCAAAGCCATGGGGAGAACCACATTGGTCAACACCACCGTGGGAACACTGCAAGGGTCGACTTATTTGAGCGCGCGCGCTCGAGCCCCCAGCTGAGCACGAAGAATGCAATCGCGCTAGATCTGCGCGCGCACCACGAAGACGATGATACAAGGGGGGATCGGGAGCTCCACCGAAGGTCCCAGTGCCACCGCCCGCATGCGTCCCCAACACCCATGTCGGCACATCCCTAACACTTTTCGTGGCCCCACAGGGAGCTCCACCGAAGACCCCAGTGCCACCGCCCGCATGCGTCCCCCACACAAATTTCGGCACACCCCTCACACGCTTCGTGGCCCCATAGGGAGCTCCACCGAAGGCCCCAGTGCCACCGCCCGCATGCGTCCCCCACGCCCATGTCGGCACACCTCTCATACGTTTCGTGGCCTCACAGGGAGCTCCACCGAAGCCACCGCCCACATGCGTCCCCCACACCCATGTCGGCACACCCCTCACACGCTTCGTGGCTCCATATGAAGCTCCACCGAAGGCCCCAGTGCCACCGCCCGCATGCGTCCCCCACACAAATTTCGGCACACCCCTCACAGGCTTCGTGGCCCCGTAGGGAGCTCCACCGAAGGCCCCAGTGCCACCGCCCGCATGCGTCCCCCACTCACATGTCGGCACAGTCTCGTAGCCCCATAGGGAGTTCCACCGAAGGCCCCAGTGCCACCGCCCGCACGCGTCCCCCACACACAGTTCGGCACACCCCTCACACGCTTCGTGGCCTCATATGGAGTCCCACCGAAGGCCCCAGTGCCACCGCCCGCATGCGACCCCCACACCCATGTCGGCACACCCCTCACATCACACGTTTCGTGGCCCCATATGAAGCTCCACCGAAGGCCCCAGTGCCACCGCCCGCATGCGTCCCCCACACAAATTTCGGCACACCCCTCACACGCTTCGTGGCCCCATAGGGAGCTCCACCGAAGGCCCCAGTGCCACCGCCCGCATGCGTCCCCCACGCCCATGTCGGCACACCTCTCGTACGTTTCGTGGCCTCACAGGGAGCTCCACCGAAGCCACCGCCCGCATGCGTCCCCCACACCCATGTCGGCACACCCCTCACACGTTTCGTGGCTCCATATGGGAGCTCCACCGAAGGCCCCAGTGCCACCGCCCTCATGCGTCCCCCATGCCCACTTCGGCGCACCCCTCACACGCTTCGTGGCCCCATAGGGAGCTCCACCGAAGGCCCCAGTGCCACCGCCCGCATGCGTCCCCCACATGAATTTCGGCACACCCCTCACACGCTTCCTGGCCCCATAAAGGGGGCTCCACCGAAGGCGCCAATGCCATCGCCACCATGCGTCCGACAGCCTCACGGGGGACCTCGCGGGCCCGCTGGTGTTCATCGAGCCCCGCACGTCGGAGCCGTTCACCTTCCGCACCGCCAAGGTCACCGGGACGGGCTTCCCGTTCTCGCACGGCAGGGTCATCACCACGGTGGCGTGCCAGGGGCGCACCATGCGAGAAGACGACGGGGCGAGGGAACCGCGCCCCTGGGCAGTCTACAGCCGAACCTACTGGGCGCGAGCGGTCTGCAGCCGGACCATCTCCCGGTCCTGTGGGCTCTCGCCCTGGGCCGTCGGCTGTCCGGCGCGCTGCTCAATCGGCCGACGTCGCCCAGGCGTGATCCTGGACTGCGGCCGCCACGAGGTCGGGAATGGCAAGAAGGAGGACGACGACTGGTGGCTGGAGCCCTACGCGCTGCTCTCGCGCGCCACGCGCCACGAGGACCTCCTGCTCATGCGGGCGCCGCGCATCGAGTTCTTCCTGGCAGGGCCGCCGGAGGGCTTGCGGAAGCAGCTGGAGCAGCTTGCGGCGCGCACGAAGCGGCGCAGGAGGGAGGCGACGGCCCTCGCCAGGGAGCTCGGCTTCACCGAGTTTATCTGCGAGGCCTGACCTGAGGAGCGCCCCCCCCCGAGCCGCGCCTTCTATCGACTGCCCAGCTAATTGTTCGGCCTCGCGCCGCGAACGACCCGCACGCGTCGCTGGGGCCCTCCGGGGCGACCGGCGCGCGTCGCGGGAACTCCGTGCTGCGTTCTTCCTGCGCCTCGCTCGCCCGTCGTCGCTCTGCCCAGCGGGCAGAGCCTCGCCCACTATCAGCCAGCCAGCTAGCTAGCCAGCTCTCCTTGCTCCGCGCAGCGGACGACCCGCGCGCGCCGCTGGGGCCCTTCCGGGGCGACCGGCGCGCGTCGCGGGGACTCCGCGCCGCGCTGCGCCCGCAGCTTTGGACTTTGGAGCGCGCGGGCGAAGAGGGAGGAAAAGAAGGGAAGGAAGCGGGCGCGGTCCTCGTGAGGGGCGCGCCGACATGGGCGTTGCGGCGCGCGGGCGCTGCCGCCGGGGTTTCCGCGGGAGCTTTCTGCAGCGGCCACGCTCAGCGTCACGAGTGCGCAGACAGGCATACCCGAACCGCGCGCGTCGCAATTGTTCGAACGTCGTTGCGCGCGCGCGCCGGAACCCTTCAAACACGTTCGGCGTCGTGACAAGTTAAACTTCGACCGCCCCGAAAAAAACATGCATATATAATATAAAACACACGGTGTTGCAACATCAGTTGTCAAACAAATCTTGAGCTCGCGTTTTTGCGGGTTCTCAAGCAAATCATCGGCATTCCAACATGTTCAGAATCGTCTGCCAGGCGGGCCTTTTCGCGTCACATGTCGAGCTCATTTGGACGCCCTGGTGCGGGTGTTGGGGGGGGGGCACGATCCCTGTCAAATAAGACCACATTGTCCACGCGCGCGCGTCGGCCGTGCGCGAATGTCGAACCGTTTCCAGAACATGCATCACCGACGCGAGGACGTCGTCATCATGATTGGCGGGCGTGATCAACACTGGCACCGTCATAGGCCTTGCCGTCGTCGCCACCATCGTCACCATCACCGTTGCTCTCAGAATCGTGTCTACCGTTGTCGGCGTCACCATGATACCGCGCCCGCCCACGTCACCGACTCGCATTGAAATACCCGCTGGAAGTGCCCAGCGGTCAGCGCCAACGCGGCCGCGCGGGTCGCGCCGTACTAGCTGGTCGCTGCGCGCGCGAGCATGCGCGGGCTAGCGCGGCCGCATTGATGCACCAGCCGACGCCAAGCACCCATCGCAATCGCCGTCGCATTGGTTATGCAAACCAGGTTGCGGGTGGGCGGTTGTGGTATCTGCGCGAGAAGCGGAATTGACAATTTCAATGTTGGCAGGGTGACTTGCACCACGTAGATTGCAGCAGGTATCTTGTTACACACCGATTGCCCGACATGGATTGCTAGAAACACGCTGTTCGGGGGGCGCACTGGTAACACACACACACACACATGTAGATTGCCCAAACAGTGTTGGCACTGAGGGTTTCTTACTTGTGTCGTAAGGTAAGCGGGCCATGGTGTCGGTCCAGCCGGCTCGTCGCCGCCCGTCCTCGCCGTCGCTGCTGGGCCACGGCGTCGATCCGACCAGTTCCTCGCCGCCCGTCGCCGCCGTCTCCGTTGGCCCCCGTGGCGGTCCGGCTGGCTCGTCGCGCCCGCCAACACGTTGTTTTACATTGTGTTGCATTGTGTCGCATTGATTTGCATTGTTTTTCATTGCTTTGCATTGTATTGTTTTGCCTTACTTTGCACTGCTGTATATGTTGTTGCACTGCTTTGCGTTGTTCATGTTGTGCAACGCATTGCAATACATTGCGCCACGTGGATTGCACCACCCAGGTCGCGCAGCATGGATTGCACCACCCAGATTGCACCGCATAGCCTGCAAGAAACCATCGCTTGGGGCCCACGCTGGCTGACACGCGTTTTTGCCACATGCGTGTAGTTATGCGTCCTGCAGTCCATACGCTTCCTGGTAGCCCGCCGCTAGCGGCGGGGCAGTGCCGAGCATGCCAGGCCGTCGAGTCCAACGACCCCGGATCATTGGCAGGTGCGCGCCCTTGCAGCCAGAAGTGTAGAGGTCGGATTTTTCAGTGACGGTGACGGAGCGGAGTCGGGTTCACAGTCTAGAGCCTTTATTTCTGGTGTGTGGGGTAGTTTCGCTTGCCGACCCGCGCGGGGTCTAGGGCCTCTAGTTGACAAACGAAGGTGATCTCAAGGCACGCCGAACTGAGGTTAGATGTGCGAAGGGATTGCAGCAAAAGACGGCAGACGGATGCTCAGAGGCATGCAGAAGGAAGTTAGTTACCAGTGATGTGCAGGAAAATGTTATCCATTTGCGCCGCCGCGCGTGTCCGCCACCGCGCTGGGACCGCTGGGAGCCTGGGGGCGGGGCTGCAGGGGTCGGAGGTGTTGCACAGTTGGCGTCCATGCTTGTGCGCATGCTTCTGCATTCCAATCATGCTATGCATGTATTCTGTTGGATCACAAGATGGTGATTGTGCGGCGCAGTGCTACATCCAGACGTGAACGGCCGTTCATGATCAGGTTAGTTCACAGCGACTGCGGTACGAACCGCATCACTACGCGCAGGTATTGATTCACTGGGGGGGGGCACTGAGGCTGCCGCAATGCAGTTGTATGGGGGCATTGCTAAACCGTGTGTCGAGTCAGCTTTGCATGTGCGGGCGTTTGATGCTTGCTGGTCGCAAGAAATCGCACATATCATTCATCGAGTTGTTTGATGTGTTGGCTGCTACGCTTTGGGACCCTCAACGCTTCCCCTCCCCCAGGACTAATCGCGCAACCCTTCCCGAAAAGGACGGATCCATCCATCTTGATTGTCGTTGTTCGGCTACAGTTCCGCACCATCGCGGGCGAGGACGAATTGTCATTGAATCATGGTTCCTGGTTCGCGCCAAGCTGTGTATTGCCCCCTGCTTTGCGCTGACGTTTCACAGGTTCGGGCGCACCTGTTCGGGATCTCGCCAGGCCGTCCCACATGGACTGACATCCTCCGATTGATCCCCCAGAGCGCTAATGCATGGGTGTATGTTTCATTTAGGAGCCCCGATAACCCGAAGAGGCTCCTTGCCCAGCGACGTATTGCTTAACAAGTTTCACTCAGATGCCGTCGGCGGGACACCAACATGAGAGAAGATTCGGTGGCGCCGTCCTGTCAAAAGATGCGTGGTCGCTGCGGTCAGCTCTCCGTATATCTGTCTGTCGTTGTGTGTGCGTGTTCTTTTGTTGTTTGGATTCAGTCCCCGGCCGCGTGCGGCCGAAAGTGTGTGATTGGCCGTGTGCGTGCGTATGTTCGCCAGTCCGTCAAAGCACGCGCTCGTCTTGGGAATCCTTATTGGAGGGTCACGTGCATGTTCGAGTGCCGCCATCAACGCAGGGTGGCAGTTCAATGTGACCTAGCCCGTCTTAGTTTCTCGCAATTTTGTTGTCACATCGTCGGCGATGGAAAAAGTGCATGTGTGTTATGTGTTGTATGTGTGTGCGTGTATGTGGGTGAGTGTATGTGAATGCTTGTTTGTATGCGTATGCCTGTCTCTCTATATCTTTCTCTCTCTCTCTCTCTCTCTCCCCTGCATCTCGCTCCGACTACGTCTTCTGTCCTGGAGCGCGCCCTCTGTATTCGTCGTTCCCCAGCGTTGTGAACCCCAGTGCGCCCCTGGAACATCTAGAGCAAGTGAGAGCCACCAGGCGAGACGCCGTCCGCCTCATCGTCGTCAACCATATGGCGGACTTACCAGGGGCAGAACGCGGTCGAGATTGCTATGGAACGCGCCCGCGCGGACCTTATGTGATATCCGAGAGTCGGGGGTCGCAGCGCGCATTTGCAACATCGAGCTGCGCTGCCACGCATGTTTGCCACCGCCCCTTTGGGAAAACTGGTGGACGACACACATCACCCTGACACGCACCAGCCTTGATAATTCGAGCTGTCCAAACCAAGCCTGTATGAGTTCGAGAAGCTTGCTCGGGAAAGGGCTGGCTCTCTTTCGGGATCTCGCTGAGCTCGTGCACGCGTCCGATTCGCCTTGGCTTGCGGGTTAGAAGCGTGGTCTCTACTTCCAGGTCGACTCATGACACGAAGCATTCGGGAGGCTTCGGGGAATTGAGGGCAGTCATAGCATTGGAATGCGGATCAGTTTGGTTCATGAATGGGTTGGGAGCTACTGCATGTCATTCCTGAGCTCTGTCCCCGTGCGTTGTTCGCACACTTCGTCGCAGCTAGAGCCCAAGCGGTGTTGCGTTCTTCGTTCAATGTTCACTATTTGTTGTCTCCAGTTGCGTAAGTTCCGTCATTCTTGTTGACTGAGATTCACTACTGTAGCTCACTGTCTAGATCCCTACTATCTTCATCTTACACATAGTACATTAAACGTTCCCACTCCCTGCCAATTGTTCTGCCCATTGTATTTCTGCCAGGTCGATTCACAGTTTAATGGTTTCCATTTCCCTAACGCGGTTAACGCTTGCACTCTGTACTCAGTGTCTTCCTACGAACCGCTAGAAAGCGTCCCATGCCCCTTCCTTGCATTTCGGCAACGGTTTTGACAGCGCAAGGTTTTCCCTTGTCACGCATGAGCGCTCCCATTGCATGTTACTCAAGTTCATGACTATGTCACCGCGCCGTGTGTTCCGACGCGCGGTCTTGCGCCTTTGGGAGGGCGTCACGGCCACCGGGGCATTTTCGCCTCGGACGCAGGGCTTGCCGTGGGGTTTGCCGCGGCGTCGGCTGTGTGTCCATCGGCGCGGGACGCATGGTTTGCCGTGTGTTTGCCGTGGTGTCGGCGTCGTCCTTTCAGGCGCGTCGAAAACAAACGGCGCGGCGGCATATGTACGGTGGCGCTCCAGTTCAAGTAATTCATGACACTCCGTGGATCCACAGCCTTTCCAGCAACTATGCCCAGACGAGTTGAGGTGATCAGGAAAGGGTAGGAGCAAAGAGGGGGCAGCCGTTACCGTTCGAAGGAGGAAGGGGATGGATGAGGGTGGAAGGGCGAGGAGGAAGACTGCGATCAGAAGGGCAATGTGCCTCTTGGATGTCTCTTGGAGTCTCTTGGGAGTTCTCGTGGGCGCTTCTTGGAGGCCTCATGGGACGTCTTTGGGGCCTCTTGGCGCTCCCGCGATGGGATGGGGGGGGGCGTCTTGGATGCTTCTGGGGGCGGCCTCTTGGGGCCGCTTGGGGATCTCTAGGGGACTTGTTCGGGGAATCATGGGAAGCTCTGGAGGCCTCTTGGTCGCCTCGTTGGGGCTCATTCTGGATTTTGGGGGGCGTCGAAGACCCTCCTGGGGCCATCTTAGAGGATATCAATCAAAAAGGGGCGGGGTCACAGCACTGCCCTTGTGGAGTCTCCAGGATCGCCTCTTGGAGCCATCTTGGTGTGCTCTTGGAGCCCGCTTGGGCGCTCTTGGAGCCGACTTGGGGCCTCTTGGGCCCCTCTTGGTCCCTCTTGGAGACATCTTGAGGCTCTCAAAGCCAATCGAAGGCGAAAAGGCGTGAAGGCAAACAACTTTGGTTTCCCTTCGGTTTTGGAAGGGTATTGGCCTCTCGGGAGCTTCCTTGAGAAGCTCCGAGGCCCCTTGGACCCGTCTTGGAGCGCTCTTGGGAGCCCGTGGAGCATGTTGCAAGCCATCCTGAGCGACCTTGCGCTATTTTGAGCCCTTTGGGATGCTGTGTTGCGCTCTCCGAGGCCCTATCAGAGCCATCGTGCACCATCTTGGACGCTATAATCGGTCGCGGGGCGGGGCGGCAGGCAGTCTTTGGAAGCGCATGCTTCCATGGCTTGGTGCTGTCGGGCGCGGCGAGGGGCGGCGTCCACGGACACGCTGCTGGCTGCGCTGGGGGTGGCCGTCTGCGGGCAAGCTGCTCGGCGGACCTGCCTCCTCGGGGGCCGACGGGGCCAGTCCGCGCCTGGGCTGGTCGAGATCGAGGCGGCCCCGCGTCTGCGCCCGGGGAGAGCGCGGGCTACCGCTGCGTCGCGGGAGGGACGCACGGTGCCGCTCCTTCCATGCAGCTTCTACAGTCGGGGCGCTGACGAAGGAACCTTTTTTCGTGTGGGAGGGGCTCAGTGTTCCTTACTTGTTTTGCAGTTGGCCTCTGGTTTTCCTCAGGTTTCCGATGGAACATCGAATTGCAACTTAGGGGAAACAGGGGCCTCGTTCCTTATTTAGGGTTCCTTAGGGCAACGCCCCGTCTGTAGGGCGGCTATGGCCCTTTGCATCCAGTCGGGACGGGGCGCCGCTCGCTGCCTGTCGCTTGCAGCCGCGACCAAGTCCATCGTCTCTTCGTATAGTCGCGGGGTCCAGCGAAGGCTCCCAGCGGGTCATCCGCAATCTTGGATGCCTGCTGAGCCAGGCGTCTGTCGAGGTCATCGCTTAGGTCCTGTGCCTGTATGCTGCTGGTCGCTGGGGCTGCCTTTGCGCGAAGACGGTCGGCAGTGAGGCCGTCCCCTGTCTGCGCCCTTCTGCGTGCGGGCGGTTTCCGGGGTGGACCAGAGCTCCATCCCGGGCCAGGAGGAGGAGGAGGAGGAGGAGGAGGAGGAGGAGGTGCAGGCGGAGGTGGAGGTGGTGGAGGCGGAGGAGGAGGAGGAGGTGGAGGTGGGGGAGGTCGAGGAGGAGGGGCTAGAAGGGGAGTAGAGGAAGAGGGAGGAGGAGGAGGAGGAGGAGGAGGAGGAGGAGGAGGAGGAGGAGGCGGCGGCGGCGGCGGCGGGGCGATATCGGGCCGAATGTCTCGTCCAAGACCACATAGCAGAGCTCGCGGGCACCTGTAGCTACGTGCGGCCTATCGTGCGCAATAGATGCGGGTGAACGACAGCCCCCCCCCTCCAGGCGAGGGGGAGCCCCAAGTTGTCCTTGCTCGACCCCAGGATCGGGCACAAAAGAGAAAAGCACTCAAGAAGCCTCAGGAGGCCAGGCCGATGGGCCAAATCAAAATCCCAAGGCATACGCAACTGGGTCTTTGAAGGAACGAGAGGAGGAAGGAGGTCTCGAAGGAGGACGAGGAGGGAGAGGACACAAGGAGGCAGCGGCGGCGGCAACACGGGCGGCCTCCTGGGACGCGGGCATCACATGCTCGGCAGACTCACATGGCCTGGAAACTCCAGTCGACAACCCGACCAGCGAAGCAGGCCTCGTCGGCTGGCTCCCCGTACCTGTCCCCTCCGCCGCCGTCGAGGAAACTGATCTCATTGACATCGGCGGACTCGGCCTGGTCATCTGAAAACTCGAACTGGTTGGCTCCCTCGCTGATGCAAGCAGCAACTGCACGATACCCTTCTCATCCTGCAGCTTGTGCGAAACTGAAGAGGCGCTCGGCACGATGCCCACATCATCCTGCCTCGGCGCCCTTGTGCTGGCGCCTCTGGTATTGACGATTTGCGATCTGACAGCTTCCGATCCAGCTATACATGGCGACGGCGATGCCCGAACAGGCCTCGAGGAGCAGCCAGTCGGGACTTGCGTTCTACGAGTGGCGACGAAACCTGGGGGGTGGCCAGCCAGCTCCTTCCCCCCAGCGTTTTGCGATCTGACAACTTCGAATCCAGCTATTCGCGACGACGGCGATGCCCGAACTGGCCTCGAGGCGCAGCCAGTCGGGACTTGCGCTCTGACGCCTACAGCTCGAGCTCGTCCAGCGCGACCTGCATCAGCCTCTCCGCGTGCGACCTCGGAGCCAGCCCTGGTCGTACCTCCCCACCGAGCTGCACGAGGCACTCCTGGAACGAGCGCTGCATCGCCGCATCCGCGAGCGAGAACACCACCTTCGCCACTCCCTCCTTGAACGCACTGCTCACTCGGAACCCCTTGATCACCATGGTGAGGTCCGCCACCGACTGCATCGCACTCAGCTTGCCGAACTGCTCGGCCCACTCCTTCGCGTTGCGGTGCCCCACCTTGTCGCCCATGTCCACGATCTTCTTCGCCGCTACCAGGAATATCTGCACACACGCTGGGCCCATCTGCACTTCGGGCAACGGCTTGCCCGCGTCCTGCTGGTGCTCGTCCCTCATCCGAGCCGCCTCCGACGCATACGCCCTGCCCGCCTGGAAGCCCGCCTTGATCACCTCCTCCTCCTCGTCCATCGTGATGGTGACGAACTCCGCCGCTAGAATCATTCTGATGTTGAAGCTGTTGCCCAGGACCGCCCTCATAAGAACAGGGAACAGCTTGGCACACATCTGGAGGTCCATCGGCGGCAACTTGTCCAGCGCGTCCGCTGGGAGGCCGTAGTTCCTGCCGATCTCCCTCCGAGCATCGTCGGTCGCCGCCCGTCCCCCTGCGAGCATAGCTGGGGCCGCCTCGCGCCTCGGACCGCCGCGCGCCTCCCGCTGCTGCTGCGGGGACTGCCGAACGCCTCCTGCGGGTGGCTGGCTGCGCCTGGCGCCACCACGCCCTCGGGAAACGTGCGCCGAGCCAGAGCGGCCCCTGCGCGAGCCTGGCTTGTCGCCGCCGTGCGATCTCGACCTGTGGGCCGCCGCTTCGAGTGCCTCGGCTCCCAAGCGGTACATCAGGTCCACGACAGATGAGAGGAGCACGAGGCGCGTGGTGGCGTAGATGTTGGTACAGGGCAGCTCGATCCTCAAAAGGCTCCGTACGGTTGCAGCACATCTCATGGGCTCCAACAGTCTGACTTCCGAAAAACATTTCCCTCGTCATATCGGCCAAGGGACAATGCAAGCACTCGGGCTCCAGGACGGGGTGCATAAAGGGCGTGACATCCGGGGGGCAACGTCCACGCAGCACCGCTTGGACCGCATGCTCTTGGGCAATCCTCCTAGTGC